GGGGGGGGGGGTAATTTTCACTTTTTAAAATTATTTTTTACATTTTTTAAAAAATCTTTTATTATTTTTCATTATTATTAATTTTTATTTTTTTTATTTTTTTTTAACTGTTGGTGGGGCTTCGGGGAAATCTTAGGGGTCTAAACAGAATCCTGATATTTCCCTTTTAAAATAGAAAAGAAATTGAGGACACAAAGTCCTCAATTTCTTTTTCTGCATCCTCTGTTCTAAATGAATGGAAAGCACTCAGCACAGAGGCTTCCCATACATTCAAGAGATGTCACCAGCACACCAGACTCCTTCAAGGATAGCCAATGTGAATTTATTCAAAACTTATGTCAAATACACAAGCGCTATCGGGACCACACAGGATCCCTTCATCAGGCATAGCCCTGATCAGGGATGTGCATGCATGATGGACAAGAAAGCTATCAGCTTCAAGTCTGAAACTGACAGCTTTTTCTCCATTCAGACCAGCTTCTAACAGGTTACATAGCAGGCGGCGCTTTATCTGGGGTTTGACTGCTATGTTAGGTTACACAGCAGTGGGCTTCCCTGATGCTGTGTGTGACCTAAAAAGTAAGGTCAGAGCTACATCAAGCCCTGAGCTCTTTGGATGATTTGGACCAATGGCAAAGCACCATCGCTACAAGCCGTCCAATAAATAAAAAAAAAAAACTGATGGCATCCATCTAGATGCCTCATCAGTGATGAGCAAGTGAGGGACAGGGAGGCTCCTCCCTGTCTCCTCTCTCCTCCAAACATAGATCAGTGACAGGTCCTAAGCGGGGCAGGCCACGGGTGCCTCACCAGCCACAGAGCTCACCGCAAGTCCCTGCAGTCTATGAAAGCTTGGAAAAAGATTTTACCCATCTGTAAAAATGTTCCATCAAGCAAAACAAATTAGCAAGAGTTCATGCTCGCTCAACATTATTCATTGATTATTTTTAACCAAGCGGAGCTGCGAAAGCAACCTTTAGGTGACGCTATTGTTTAATAGGCATGAGCAAATTAATTTTGCACAAATCCAACCGGTTCACTTTAGCAAGCGGTCACTTGTCACATTTGCAGTCCTCCCCATAATGACTAGTACCTATTCTGATACAAGACAAAGCTTGTACACCTCCTGCAGCAGCCAATCAAAAATACAGCACACAGCAGAACTATATTTCATATGTTAACCACTTGATGACCGGGGTGCTAAACCCCCTTCCTGACCAGGCCATTTTTCAGTATTCAGAGCTGCGGTATTTTGAATGACATTTATTCCGTCATGTAACGCTGTACTGAAACTAATTTTATACCATTTTTTGGGGACAGGTAGAGCTTTATTTTGGTGCTGTTTAATCAACACTGGGGTTCTTTATATTTTACTATATTAAGGAAAAATTACCGTAAATTTTGGGGAAAAAAACCTGTTTCCCCTATATTAAATTATGAAACATTTAATGATACCCAATTTTTTGGTAAAATATAAAAGACGGGGTCACGTCAGGTAAATAGACACCAAACATCCCAAGCATTAAAATTGTGCGCGCCCGTGAAACCTAAAAAACGATAATACCCAAAATTGGCCATAGGCGACGCTTTACAAGCTTTTACCGCTCAACAGTTTAGTGTTATCAGTAATTGATGGCCCTAAAATGATTGCTCTCGCTCCGACGTTCGTGATGATATGTAACATGTGTACCGCAATTGTCGCTTTGACGTCTTAGCGCACCCGACGCGTATTTACGTTTATTTATGCGTATACGTAAGGGTGGGGGACTTAAAAAATTTGTGTTTTTTTTTTTTTACATTTCTTTATATGTGACTTTTATTTTTTTTTCACTTAACGTTATTCCTATCACATAGGGGTATAACAATCCCCCTATGTGATAGCGCAGGCACACTGAGAGGTCTTCTTTATGGAGACATTAGGGGTCTCTAAGATCCCTAATGTCACCTGGGGACCCCCAAAGAAGCCGATGAAGCAGAGATCTGCTTCATCAGCTTCTTCTCTCTGGCTATAGCACCCAGAGGACTGACAGGTGAATACGGAAGTGATGTAATACACATTACTTCCGCATTCAGATGTTGGAGGAAGATTAGCAAGGAGGAAGATGCTGACCTCACTCCCATCTTCCTCCTGACACCCTCCCGAGCCAGTTCCGGGCAACATATGGGGCAGCGGGGCCAGGGATTGAAGTTGAGGGTGCAGGAGGGAGGGAGGCGACAGTGGAACAGCAGTACTGCATGGGGGGGGTGGCGCACATGGCGGCACATACAAGCGATCGGACGGCTATAGAGCCGCCGATCACTTGTATGTGTAACAGCTGGTAATGGCTGTACAGATTCCCGGCGGGATTCTGCACACGCCGGTCTGCTAGGAGGCGCGCGCAAGTAGAAAAAAAAAGACATACATTTACGTGACATTTACGGGAAGGATCCCGTCCATGTGATCAGCAGAGCATTGCTGGGAAATCTCATCAGTAATCTCATTAAATGTCAGGGAAAGGCATTTTCCTCGCCTGAGATGATGTGCATGGTCACATGTCTATTCACATGTGCCAGAAATCAAGGAAGTAATAGGAGAGCTAGTAATCTGCCCTTAGTAAACATGGCCACTGTGAGAAGTCTGGGGAAGAAAAGAGAAATAAGGGATGCAAAGATTACAAAGAAAGATTATGTGTTTGTAGATTATCATTACTAAACATTTCTAAACAAGGTGTGTTTGTTGTTATTTTTAAGATATGTAAAGGTCCGCTTTAAGTAATAAAGAAGAGGGTAGTATGCATTAGGAAGGCAGGTGACACACTGCGAGCTCTTACACTTTTGTTTAAAGCTGAACTCCAGATAACCAGCTAAATACATAGCAGAAATACATATTATGTGAGCTGTTTTACCTGCCCAAGGATTTCATCTGGATATTATCTCTGGATTTCATCTGGATATTTGGCAGACAGCAGAGCTAGCCAAGTGACCTGTCCTTTTTTATTGCAATTAAGCAGCACAGCTTGGTCACTCAAGCAATGACTAGACACTGAAGAAGCAGAAGCAGACTTATGAGGTCATCTCTCTTCTATCCTGTCAGCATGTTTCTTCTCAGCATGCACATGAAGAGCACCTGACTGGCTCCTAGAGTCGCCCCTCCCTCTTCGAGCCATGCTGTCTTATAAAAAAAGAGGCCTGATTTTATTGTAAAAATATAATTTCACTTAAAAAATTAAATAAAATTATTTTGCGCATATAAAAACACAATCATTTACTAAATGCCCATTAAACAAAGGGATGAAATTGTGTCAAGTCAATAGATAACAAATACCTCTAGCATTTAAAATGCTCTCACTAATCAATAAAAAATGAAGATATGCAAAACTGTCAATATACAATGCATTGAACACTTTTACCACTCCATTGATTTAACCAAACTCCAGCTAAAACATTTGATTTGATTTTGGACAGAGCAAGAAAGGGTTAAAGCATTGGTTATATTTTTATTGCCACCTCTGTCCTTCTTGGGGGATTTGCCTCTAGTTTCTGTCAGGATAGGAAATGATAATAGGAAATCTCTTCAATGGGGACACAGACAGAAACAAAGCCACATTGTTAGCAGAGTGTGGAAGGGTTAGAAATCACACGATGGGAATTTATCCAAACTAGAGAAGGCCAAATTTGGAGCAGCTGTGTATGGCAACCAATCAGCTTCTCTCTCCAAGTTATTCAGTTAAGATTTAAAAATGAAAGAGAGAAGCTGATTGGTTGCCATGCACAGCTGCTCCAGTTTCTGTCTGCTCCAGTTTTTATAAATTCCCCCAAATGTTTTTATTGCTGTATGTGCCTTTCTGGCTGGGCAGCAACTGCACCCCATTTTACCTATATGAGTGTCACAATGGACATGAAGTAAGGGAAAATATCCCCAGTGGAGTCTCACACAAAAATAAAAGCCTGACAAAAACTTTAAATCATTCTCACTCTACCAAAATAATAATAAAGAAAAACTTGCTGGAGTTTGGTTTTAAACTAAAATAATGCACCTTTAACAAATTCTTTAATCACCAATATATATATATATTGGGATACTTAATTGGTAAGTGTAGTAGGTTTTAATTTAATTTTAGTTACTTTTTCATATTTTTTTTATTATATATGTATATTTTTTTCGAGGAGTATGTGCAGCAAGAATGGCTTAGCTCTTCATCCACACTTTTAAAGCCTCAGATGTCTGTCCATCCTCAGCTCTCTTGAGATCCAATTACTACAAGCTTGTTACCATTGGTTGTTTGTGAGTACATTTTTAGCTGTTTTTATTTTCAAATAAAGTCGTTTTTACACGATGGAGGAGCTCCTTGTGCTTCTCTGTTGATGTATATTTTTTTATTAAACAAATAAATATTTAAAGAAGAACTATTATTATTATACAGGATTTATGTAGCGGCAACAGTTTGCGCAGTGCTTTAGAATATAAGGGAGACATTACAATCACAATACAAATCAAGACAAGATGGTAAGGAGGGCCCTAAACTCTTAAAATAAAAAAAATGCTAGGAGGTAGGGATTTTTGGGGGACATGAAGTCTCTTCGTCTAGAAATGTTCCTTTTTTCCCTATATGTTAATTTATTTGTACACTGTATGGCGGGAATGGAGCAGGGTGCCAGGGACAATTCCTGTGCAAATGCCAGGGGTTAAATCATCAGTGTCCATCCAATGGCCATAGAGGACGACTGGGAACCTGGAAGAAGCAGTGGAGGAGATGGTGGTGGTGGGGGGGGGGTGGACCGGTGACTGACAGCTGAAGTGGAGAGTGCTAAAAGATGATATACTTGTAAGCTAAGTGTGCCATAATGTGCAATTATGCCATTCATACTTGCACCTACGATGTAGCAGTTTAGTTCAACATTAATACACGACAAAGGACCCCCAGAGATACATGGCTTTGCTAAAAAGAGAGCAGAGGGGTAGCTGCTTGCATTAAGGCTCTCTTTGACTGAAATTTTGAAGTGAGCTGCCTGATAAGGTATGAATCACTGTGATATTAAAGTAAATCAATGACAGCTTGTAGGTATACAGAGCACTTGTGCCAAGTTGAAGAGGACGTCTCAACACTTAAGCTTCTATGGAGATCTGATTGCTGACTTGCTGGGCAGCATACGGTGTCTTATGCATTGGAAGGTGTTTTTGTTTTGCTAAAATATTATTTGAGAGGTCTAGGATTGAAAATATATAATTTTATGCCTAATTATGCACTTATCCTATGACATTTTCGGGTCTACGTTATTGTTATCACAAAATGTGATATTGATAGTGTAGATCGGTGTTGACAGGTTCTCTTTATGGAAACATCAGGGGTCTAAACAGACAGCTGATGCCTATTCTGTGTCCAGAGGAAAATATCTGGGTCCCTTAGGAGCAGTGTATAAGTATTCAGGTCACTATCTTCTAGATACTATACACCATTTGTGTACACAGGCCAGCTGATATGCCACCATGTGCCATGACTTATATGTCCTTTGAGTCAGATTTAAATAGTCACGTTTTTTTTGTAAGGCAATACTACACTGATTTTGAGATGCTAAATATATATGTTTATAAACATAAAGATTGAGGCGCATCGCTTTTCAAAACAGCTTGGAGAATGGATCACGGTACAGTGTCTGGTTCAGGAATTCTTGAACTAAATTATTTATCATGCAAAGAATCCCAAGGAAAGCAGCAGAAATAAAGTTAAATGGATGCAACATCAAGGCAAAGAAGAATTTGAAAAGCACACCAACCCTTTGCACCAAAGATATGACTGCCACCCCATTTGCCTGTTTTGAACCAGATGGGCAATGTGCCTATGTGATCATGGAGAAGACCACCAGCAAATGGCTCTCCCAGTTGGATCTATGGTACCCTGTCTTCCCCAGAAGAAGACTCTACTGCCTGCTGTATTACACACACAGTAATCAGCTATAAATAACAACAATTTACTACAAAAAAACAATCAAGTTAATCTTATAGAAAAAGCTTCTGGTCATTAAAGGGCAGGACAGGAAATGGCAGATCAAACAGACTGCTGACTAGTACAAGCTCTGGGTCAGCCATCCTTATCCTGATCATTGACCTGGAACAAGCATGTGGTTGAGGTGTTTCAAACCTTCACTGACAACATGCTTTCAGGTCAGTGACTTGCTACATAAGGGAAGCAAATATCATCTTGACAGCCCCAAGCTTGCACTTTAATTTAGTCAACAATGGCAACTCCCATATTTAATCCTGACAAGTCCCCTTTAAGGTATTAAACAATAGGCCAACCTGATCATTCAGATGCCTCTAGAATGAGTTTTATTTCATTGTAGTTGACCCTTTTGTTACAAACATCATGCAGACTTCTTTATACTGGCGTGTATGAGTTGCCTCCTCATATATCCTGCAGAGTATGTTGTCTGCATTCATCTACAGCATCTTCCTCTGGCTGAATTTTAGT